AAAATCGAACAATCTACAGCAAAACCATCAATTATTATGGGCATTATAACATAGGTGTGCAGCTGGACGAAACATACACGTCGAACCCCCCCCCCAGACGATTCAAATACCTGACGAAACATACACGTCAAACCACGCTGAACGGTTAAAAGTGAAAAGCATAATATTATGCGACCGGCCCGCAAAGTGTTAAGAGTCTGTTTCATGACTTTTTAATGACCAAACAAAAATGGATGCAGGCAGGATCTATGCTTATTTTCTCTTGTAGTGGCTTTGTTTTCTTTTCAAGAAAGAATCTGGAGTATGCAGTTATAATATGTGGTCAAATGTAATACAGATATGTGCAGAAAGTTAACAAAATGCATTTCTTTGAGTTTTATAATAGCAGTTTACAGTTAGGAAATGCTTTTAGCCAAGAAAGTTTTCCATTTATTTTATAATCATTTGCAATATAAAGACAGACCATAAAGACATAGTTAATAATAATGCTGTTTGTTCAGTATAGTTGGTACTACCTCCTTAATCTCGATTTTGGAGGCAGCATTTGAAAACATCAGTATAATTACATTATTCATTTAAATAATTAAATACGTTATTCACTGAAATCACTCACAGAAACTACATGCATTACACATTCCATCATTTTTCAGACAGGTATAATATATAAAAGAGTATCAGGAATAGAGAAAATATTATCTCACTGTTTGCAGACTGGTCATAATTTATGTGAAAAATAAAGTTATTTTGCTTATCTCTAAGCACAAATCTGGAGCCAGTTCAGTAACTTCATATTTGTCATTGCTCTATACACTTTCATCATGTGATTTCCTGTAGTGCATATCCATGGCTGTAGGAACCCAGACATTGGTAACAGATTAAGAAGCAGTGATGTTCCATATTTTGGTGTTGCAGTCTTGTCCAACAGATACTAATGTTCCATCATCCAACCAGGCGAGACGTGTAATCTGGCTCTGTGGATGAGCATCTGATGGAGAAAAAAACAAACTATTAACTCAGGGATTTGTCATTTGAAGGGATAATAGTGCCATGCAGGTAAAATGACATGAAATGACAACTTTCAGACTTGTTTAAACAAAATGATTTGTCTGAAGCAGTACCGGGTGTTGTGAGAAAAATATGGTCATGGGTCCTGAGGGACCCAGAATATGGAATGGTGCTGGTGAAAGTGAGCAGCAATTTACCCGACCAACCGAAAGTACCCAGTGATATTCGGGGGACAGCTGCCTTGGGTACTGTTGCTAGTATTGACTTAGGGGGAACAAATGTTTCATTTGCCTCAAGCACTTGAACCATTACTTGATCCACTGTGTACCCCTGATCTTCTTAGGGCCCTTTAGAGGGTTCTGAACATAATGCTAGAGCCCAGAATTATTATGCCTATGGCTCCCCTGTGTTGGCTCTAACCATGCAGATCTGAAGGTCTCTAGCCAAAGATGGGCACTGGCAAAGTATGTGGTAGGTGGTTTTCCTTTCTCATCCACATTTCCTGCACATGGTGCTTTCCAAGAGCCTCACAATATATAGGTGCTGCATCAGGGTACAGTGGCCAGTCAACAACCCTGTTGCCAGCCTACCTTTTCCTGTACAAGGACAGTAGATCTCTTAGACCAGCCATGTCAAACACGCGGCCCCCATAGCCACAAAGTGCGGCCCCTCAACTTTTAGAGCTAATTGATATTAAAATCAATATTAAAATTTTAGTAGAAATATTTTTTGTAAAGACACTTTTCCAAGAGACCAGAAGACAAGAAGTCTCACACATACATAAATTAGCAGGCTGCAGGAAAAGTGATTCTGAGAATTGCAGAAGGGTTTGTCCAACTAACGGTTTGTAAAGTTCGTGAAGGACAAACTATTGTATTTCAGAAGGTTAATGCACTAAAATCTGCACAGCCCCAAGTATTTCCAAGAATCCCTTTTGGAGGCGTAGTAAGAATGCAAGGAGGGTGGCAACTGACAGACAAGTGCAAGGGATTTCTACCTTCAAAACTAGCTTGCAACCCCCAGCCATTGTCTATTGGGCTGCTAGCAAACTTTCACTTTTATGACCATTGAGACAAGATACACCTTCCTACTAGTCTGGTAGTCTCTTGTACATTGTCATTCAATTCATTTTCACACAGTGATCAATGTATAAAGGTTATAATTAAACATTAAATTATCAACTACGAGTTTTCTTGTATATGTACAGTAACTTTAAAGGGCAATGTCACTTTCAAAAAATTCGAGTAGCAAAAAAAGAACTATTCAAAGTGAGTGCCGTGTCTTTCAAGAAAAATTGGAAATCGCTGATTTCTGTTGTGAAATAGAAGGTAAAATTACATGTTTGATTTGTGGGCAAAATATAAGTGTTCCACTTTAGGTAATAATATTGAAATTATTCCTAAATAATAAATAGAATTAAATTTCCTTGTATCAAAATCTAATGTATATTTGTATTTTGAAATGCGGCCCTGGACCGTTATTTACAGGGCTGAGGTGGCCCTCTGTGCAAGTTGAGTTTGACATGCCTGTCTTAGACTGTTTATCTGAAGATCTCTGAATGGATGGTTCTGTCTTATACCTAGTCCTGTAGCACAGTATTTAATGTATTTAAAGTCACTCCTTAACCTTGACTCTACCAACACACCTACTCAGCCATGCATAAAGATGAGGAGTCAGAACCAGTCACATATGAAGAGGCACTGTCAACCTCCGATAAATCTAAATGGAAAGCTATTAAACAGGAGCTAGAAGCTTTCCAAACAAATGAATCAAAGGAAATCACAATTCCTATTTTTTGTGATAATCGTGGTGCTTTAGTCATAGCGAAAAATCCTGTCAATAATGACCGAACAAAAATAACAGGTTATGGGCCCAGGGATCGTATCATTGATAAGTGTAAAAAGTGAAAAGTGTTTACAATATTATATTTGAGCATCCTGTTACACTCGCACAATATATATAAGCTAAACACCGTCTTAAGTGTAACAATTTTATTGTAGTTCTTTCTTCTTTCCCCTCACTCCACACTACATGTTTCGGCCCTAAATGGTCATCATCAGGTGTGTATTCTTACGTAGCTGTTACACTGCCTGTTAAAATTTAAAATCACCAGTCTTTCTAATTGTATAAACTGTTTGTTAACCTACACGCGTTAATTTTGATTTCTATTTAGCACTTTCTTTTAAAAATTTAATTCAAGTTAAAGTATCTATAAAATTTCTGTTCTTTTCCTTTTTCAAATTTTTTTTTTAATTAAAATTATTAAAGATAAGCAGCGACACACACAGAGAGCCTACACAGAACAATACCTGAACAACGATAAACAAGAAGTGGCCGCTGCAGCACTTAGACTAGGGCATGTACCCTGAGAAAAATTTTAATT